TGGAGACAGGGTTTCAGCATGTTGGCCAGGCTGGTTTTGATCTCCTGACCTCGTGATCTGCCTGCTTTGGCCTCTCAAAGGGCTGGGATTACAGGCATGAGCCACTATGCCTGGCCAATATACCTACTTTTATAGATATGATAAGAAATAAGGTACGGAGTAAAGCAAACCAATGCTTTTAGGGAATAAACTTTTAATTTTTTTATTTATTATTTTTGCGACAGAGTCTTACTCCGTCACTCAGGCTGGAGTGCAGTGGCATGATCTTGGGTTTAAGCCATTCTTGTGTCTCAGCCTCCCGAGTAGCTGGGATTACAGGTGTGTGCCACCACACCTGGCTAATTTTTGTATTTTTAGTAGAGACGAGGTTTTGCCATGTTGGCCAGGCTGGTCTCAAACTCCTGGCCTCAAGTGATCCACTTGCCTCAGCCTCCCAAAGTGTTGAGATTACAGGTGTGAGCCATTGAGACTGGCTGGGAATGGACTTTTTAGAAATACGTGAGGGAAGGAGAACTTTAAAAGCACTTCCAACTGTCCTAACCAAAAGGGTGCCTACTGAGTGTGATTTTAAAATACGTAAAATTAAACGTAGGATGCTAGTCACTTTCCAACATACTTTTTACGTTCTTTATCAGTCTTTAAAATAATTTCATTATTGAGAATTTGAAAAAAAATGTTTCTACAATTAAAACTCTTATAAAATAATTTATTAAAAAATGCAAGTTCCCCCAAATAGCTTACATTCTGGTTGCATGAATTTTTATGCAGTTTCTAATGTTACTCAAAAGAACTGAATTTCCAATGATTCTACCCTTTTCAGTTCTCCAGAATGCCTCCAGATGGCATTAAAAGCCTTTCCCATTATATTTTACAACACACAAAAATTAAAAATTAGTAATATTTTAACCATTTAAGACCAGTCACATTCATTATATCATCTGAAAGCAGGACAATGGAACTATTTAGAACTTTTAGGGAAGTATCTTAAGAAAAACAAACATATATTCATATCTCTTATGAAATACACATCTCTCCTATTTAAGCCAAAGGATCTTTCTAGATCAAGAAACAGATTTTGGGCAAAATAAGACACTCAATATTTTACTACAAACTGATTTCCAATCAATAGCACTTAAAAAATGCTTAGTAATAAGAACACTGATCCCCATACAGATACATTCACAAAGCCTGTCTTATAATAAGAAAACACATGCCACTGCTCATAAGTGATAAAAATAAAGATTTTTAAGGAGCAAACCTGTTACTGACTCTTACGGAGCTAAAATAAAGTCACGTGTTAGCTCATGAATTTTTTAATTTAAATGTTGGTATATCAATTTGGCATCAAATTAATCAGTAAAAATACATTTGGATTCCTTGAATATTGAGAAGAAACAGACGAAACACAGAGTGAGGAGCACATGTTTTATAAGGGCCTTTTCTTATGTTTTTAAAACTGCTTTTGTTAATTCAAAAAAATAAACTCTGGAGATTCCACAGATACCGATCATTGTACTTTTCACATAATTCCAAGGTGAGGTTGCAGATGGCAAGCTTCTGAAACGACCCTGTTACTGCACAGCGGTGTGGGACAGTACACCTCCCAGTTTAAGTGTGAAAAGTTCTGTAATTCTTAAGACGATGCTGAAAGTCTCCAACCAAATCCCCCCAGCACACGTGCTCAAATCTCATTACATTTCTACTTCATAAAGAGAAGCATCTGCATTTTTCAAGATTCCTCTTACTCTGCTAAAGCATAAAAAAGCCCTCAAAATGCATCTGCACCCAAAGCATTTAAGAAGACATTATCATGAGAAAAGAGAACCATGGGCTTCCTTCCATCATCATTATTACTATTACAAGATACTCGCACTATCTCATTTTGTGCGGCATATTTAAGAAGAGGCATCTCTGATAGAAAAACGAAAGAGACTTACGATGTATTCGATGTGCCATTGTCTGGACTCTCTGGCTCTGCATCACCTTTCTCTTAAAAAGGAAGCAGAAAAAAATACCGACATATGAGTCTTACAGTCTTTAAGATTTAAGAGAGATTAAATACATTTCCATGCTCCTATTAACAATCTTTCAAAATGTGTAGCAGGAGGCTTTTAAAACATCTTTTATTGTCTGAGAACCGGATTTGCAAAATAATTTCTTCTCTGCAATAGAATTGCCCAGGCACAGATCTGTGAGTAGGTACTGAGGAGCTATTTGCAAACAACCAGAGGCTTCCAGTGGAGACCTTGCCAGAAGATGAATATCTTACAGATGGAACCTGTTTCCTTCCACTTCACTTTACAGAAAATTTCAGGAAATAAACCCATTGGCATTCTATATCCAAGGCACTTTGAACTTTGATTGCTTCTGCTAACACAAGCCAAATCAGGTCAGGCTGAATCAGGACTTGGAGGAAAGA